CCCGCCCCCGCGTTGTCCTTTGCCACCACAGCTGACATCTGCTAACAAGATGCAGAGAGGGACATCCATGGCCATGCTCCCAGGACAGGACACCTCTGTTCCCAATGTCACAGCAAATACCATCTCGCCTGGGGTTACGCGCCTGCTCTCCACCTCTCTCAGCCAAAGGCCTCTTTCCACACCAGGAAAGGTGATGGACAGTTAACACACAGCCTACAGACGGCTGTTTTACACTGCAAGCACAGGGGAGCTCAGGCTCCTGGAGGACATGGACCCTACACATTGACTACCTCAAAAATGGCTCCTTTCCCATTCACCACCAGCTACCACTCCTTCCTGAGCATGCCCAGGTGACTCCTGCTCCCTCACTGCACACCAGCACACCGTGCTGGCTGGCAAAATGGAGACACAGCCGGCATTGGCAGCCCAAAAGCCATGGCTGCTACAGCAGCAGCTGAAACAGGCCCTGCAGCTGCAAGCCCCTGTGGCGGGGAGAGGGGGGTTTGTTGGCAAGCGCTCAGCCCAGGTCCCGAAACACCACCCCACCAACAGCAGCAATGTGTCCCCACGGCACCCACAGCAACCAGCTCCAAGGAGAAGCCATCTGAGGGCAATTTTCTGATGTATCTGCAGTTTCTGTTAGAAGCATAAAAACAAAAGTGAAGGCTGTGACACCTGTGAGTCCTCAGCGCGTCTCTGTGCAGTGCTCTGCTTTGCAGGGGGGCTCCATTTTGCACAGTGTTACCTCTGCTGCAGTGATGCAAAAGGCAGGCTGTGTTTAACAGTTTTGTTCTAGTAGCTCCTAGCTTTCCTAGGGGGTAGATTTTAGTTTTTGCAAAAAGTTGAATATTTTTGCACCTTAAAACAATTTATTCTTTCTGAAGTCATCTGAATGTGAGGTCTTGGTGCGTCTCTAGATTCCAAGACACAGCTTGGGCTAAATTGTCCATGACTGTGTCCTTTCTAGTCAGAAAGGAATTATAATTTAAAAGAGAAGCACATTAATTCTTTTACTCATATTTTTTGTGACACGGAGGGCTGGAAATAAATTGTGGGCAGAAAAAATTCCTTGCAGGTTCAGCTACTATGTCTGTGCTGGATGAAATACAGGAACACATACAGAGAGATGGCAGAACGCCAGGGTGGGATCGCTGAGCACTGAAGGACGGACCAGGAAACACATTAGCAGGGAGTCTCACCAGTTTGGGGAGCAGCAGGGTGACAGAAACAGAGAAGGGACAATGGATACCACAGAGCACAAGAGGGCTTTCCACAGCCAGCAGTGAATGATGGGAAGAGACGAGACCAGGAGCATGCAGGAACAACAGGGGAAGCTTGAAGGATGGAGGGACCTGAAGTGGTCAGTTAGCCAGCGGTAGGTAGCTGGCAGCTGTAGCTTTGATCAAAAAAGAACTGCCACTGCAAACTGGCTTTGAATAGGAGGGAGTGCATACCTGGGGGCATGGGGAAGAACAGAAAGGAAAAATGCAAGGATGAGAGGCATGCAAAGATCTCCAGATGCTTGGGCTTAAAGAGAATAATGAATTTAGGCCTTCTGAGTATGCTTCAATCCCTTTCTCTGCAGCTGTTCTCAGTCCCACTCTGTCCCCACTACGAGGGCTTACAGGGATTAACGAGGTAAGATGAAACAAACAACCTGAAATAGCATCCCACACATGCCTTAAGACCTTGATTAGGAGCACACGTACATTTTGTATGTACAAAGGCAACTCTTTGCAAAGCTAATCACCCACCTGCCCTGCCAAACAGCCACACAAACTGCAACTGCTATTTCAGTTTGTAACTTTTCCCATTCTTCTTAAATCTGGCACTGGAACGGGCTGCTGTTCTGGCCCTTCTTACCTCGAGGGGTCTCATGCTCTGCAGCAATAAATGGGATCTGGGAATCTGCAGACACTTTCAAGCTTTCACACAGAAATAGCATTTGCTGTTTTTATGATAACTTATGTCACAATGTACGTAACTTGGTAGATCACAACTATCTGTAAGCAAGCACAATTGCACAAAGGAAAAGAAGGTCAAGTTAAGGATGATATGAGCATGATAACGTGATATTCTTGAATTTGATGCGTTCGTGCAGCTGCAGCACTGCAATTTCTCTTTCTACAGTCACATAGAGAATCCATTGTTTCCTTTTGGTGCTCAAAAAGGTTGCGTGTCCCTTGCCTACAGATGCCTGGGAATATAACTAACACACACCACTTTGCCAACTGCTTGTAATCTCAGCGGGGCCAAAGGCTGTAAAATTCCTGGAGGTTTATTAAAGCTGTTGTTCATGGCATTGCTCAGATCAGACACTAGCTGCTGCCAAGAAAACCATCCTGCCTGTGACTCCAAATTTTATGTAAGCACAGGGGAGACCTAATGGCAACCTGCCCATTTTTGCAGCACCTAAGCCTGAGTGAAGTCATCCAGAATCAAACATACGGAAGTTTTAAGTCTCCTGTTTTGTCACTGATCATCCTGCTCAAACTGAAAGATGACTGCTGGAGTGTGGATGCTCAGGACTGCACATGGACACGAGAGACCAGATTCCTTCTCCTTCTTCTGGAGGAGATGGGGACAGAGGGATGAAGAGTACCCTGTGGTGCGAGACCCCTCACTGGGGCCACAGGAAAGGGCCAGCCTGGCAGCCATTTAGCACGGGCAGTGTGTGAGCCCTCACTGAGCTCTGGCATGAAGTTCTGACTGTGGCCTGATGTGAACACTGGTCTTCTTGCCCTGTGCAAAGCTGAATGCACACCTGGCACCGAAGCACCAAAGTGCCAGTGTCGTTTGTGTCCTCCTCTGGGAGCCTCCCTGCCAAATCATCCCAAGGAGTGTCTGAGCTGACGTGGGTGGTGGGTGGCAGCAGCAGCAGCATTGAGCAAACCCCAAGCAGCAACATCCCAAGAGAACCTCCCAAAGTGCTTTCAGAAGACCCTGCAATACTCACAGCTTTTAGTCAAGGTGTTCTGGGACTTAGCCCAAAGAAGCACTGGCAGCTGTGTGGCCAAGCTACCACATTTGGACTTCTCAAAAGTAAGCTCTTATCTCTCTTTCCCAAGGGTTTCTCTAGGCCCTTTGCAAAAGCCTAAACTCAACACCTCGTAACCTTTCACCTCAGAGGAATGCTTTTGGTGGCACCTTTGGAGCTTTAAGCCAGAAGCTGCTTCTTTCTTGTCTTTTAAAGCACATTTATACAGCAAATTGTAAGTACAAGCCAGCCAATGTAAACACATGTAAACACATTCTGGATGAAGCCAGCAGGCATGAGGCACAGCAGCACTGCAGACTGAGCAGCCTGAGCTTTGTCACTGGTGCAACCAAAGCATATACTCCCCAGGGACCTCTACGTACCTAGTTTGGTTGCTACTGTTACAAAAGCACATGCAAAAGCCCATCACATATTTGCCACTGTTCTTACTCAGGCTAGTTACAAGAACGCTAACAGGCTCTGAACCCTCACACTGCTGTTTTGCTGTCGAGGCAAAGCCACTCTCCTTTTTTTGCCTGCCTGAAGCCCCAGATCAGATGCACTGGGTCCCAGGGCTGGAAAATTACTGCTGTACTTTGCTGCTGCAGGGAGTGCTGTCATCTGAGAGACTGTGTGGCACTGCGGTCCTGACAGGAAGGACATTTTTGACTGTGTTGCGGCTCTGTGCCATCTTTAGCTCCCCATCCCCAGGCAGGTGGCTGGAGGCTCCCAGCAGTGGCAGGGAGAGGCTGATGCTCTGTAAAAGCCTGCGAGCTGGCACCACACCTGGGGATGAAAGTCTGATGGCAAGCGAGTGAGTTGTACTCCCTGCAGTTTGAGGGGTGGAGTTGATGAGTTGAGATGAGTTAACACCATCCCAAACAAACTGAGTCAGGCTCCCATTTTGTGGCTATCTGGCATTACAAGCCTTATCTACACTATTAGACAAGTGATTAGCCTGTGGCTAATCTTACTCCATCAACCAGTAGAGCTGTCCAGATCACCAAGGCTGAGCAAGTGCGGCTTCCATGTGAATCCAGGCAGAAATACAGCAAAAATCGCAGCTCCTTGGTCTGCCTCTGGCTTCTGCAAGTGCATTACTGTTGCCCTTCAGCTGAGGTTTCCACTTAAGCTTGACCAAGCTTATAGCAAATCCCCGCTGCATCATAAGCAAGCTCTTTTTAAGTTCATCGGCTAGATGCGTCACATCTACGCTATGTGCCACCTTCTCCCCCTCCTCTTCTCTGGTTGAGCAGGCAAAGGAGAAGTCACTGCTTCCCAATCACCCTCTCCCCACTCCCTAGCATGCCGGTGTGGGTCTTGGCTGGCATTAACACCATTGGGCCAGAAATGGAGAAAACCCCAGGCAGCTGCTTCCCAAAGCAGTGAGTGCCCCTGCTCACATTTAGGAAGGCAAAGGTGGCAGCATTGGTCTTCTCGAGGAGGCTGTGCCCTGCGGATCCTTCTCTCACCCTCGCCTCCCCCAGCTCCCTAAGCCCTGGGAGGGGAGGGTTTGGGTGCACCCCTCCGCACAGCCATCTCTCCCCTCTATGCACGAGGCAGCTAATAAATGGGTGCTCTGGTACTTAACATGCAATAGCTAAATGGTTTTCTGATTTAGCCTGTAAAAGCTACAGACAAACAGGAGCAAATCCTAAACAAAACCTCACTGCAATGTTTGAAGAAAAGGTGGTGTTCATCACTGTAATATATTTGACATAAAATTTTTTAAATATTAGGAAATTGTTCTTCCCCTGTGGAAAATATTGATTATAAATCACCTTTTTGTTCTTACTTATTTTTTCTTAATGCAACTACAGTTAAAAGAAGCATAAATAGACGTGCCTCAAAATGCTGAAAGCTGAAAAATGTATCAATTTTTGAATTTTCAATAAAACAAAGCTAAACCTTTTTTAAAAAACATCAGTTATTTAGACAAAGCAATTTTCACTCCAAGTAGAAACATTTTCTACCATTTGTACCCTAAACATGAAAAATGTGATAACTGTTTAAAGAAAATCATGCTTCTGTTACTTTTCAATGTACAGCGTGCTTTTACCAAGGCTGATAAAATTACCAGCAACTAGGCTTTCTTCTCATAAGCATTTACAGAATTGGTAAGAAGTCCCTCACCACCATGAATTTCTTCCTGACCCCAAAGGTCTGTGCTCTGATGCTGCGAATAGAGTGGTGGACCAAGAAAAGGGGAACGAAAATTCATGTTTTAAATTATAGCTACAGTTCAAACATGTCATTTTAATTTGAGGCCAATTAAAAGCTTGAGAGAAAAACATGTAAGACCACAGTATATAACAACAACCTACAACAAAATATACGTTGCTAATCAAAAGAGCAAGCAGCTCCAGTTTCACAATTTAAACATACTAATTTTAATACTGACCAACAGGTGTGTCCTCCGAAAGGCTGAGAAGTGCCATGTTCCCATTTGTGCTTCTGGCTCCATTATCAAAGAAATAGGGAGCATAATTTGCCTGAACTGCAATTAAAACAAAACAGAAGCCAAAGAAAAGCATTTTGTAGGTGGCAGCTATTTGGCTTTGTTACCTGACTCTCAGTAAACATGAGCTGTTTGGGGAATACTATGAGTGCATAACATACCCAGTTGCTGCAATGGACTTTCAGAACTGTATCTGTATGGATATTTTTAATAAAATTCCTTCTACATGCCACGGTGCCAGTATTCACACAGCAGCAAATAGAGAGAGTATATGGGAAAAAAAAACCCCTCACAACAGAAACAAATCAAGTAGCAGGATCTCTTTAAAAAATCTCAATCAGTTCCAGACAGCTTCATTGCAAAATTAACCTTTTCAGCTTGCAATGACTGTACACGTCTCCCCTACTCTACACATGCAAGTCTGAAACTTTCCCAGTGCTTCGGTACCTTACCCAGTATTCTAAGCACATTCTGTCTTAAAATTATGCCTACTGCATGAGCAATTAAGCCATAATTAAATAGTTACTTACTTGCTGCCAGACAACAGCAAACAAAGTTAAAAAAAAAAAAACAAGAAACAACAAATTAGTTGTCATTCTACTAACTGACTGTTAGAGATTCAAAATAGCCCATTTGAAACAAAACTCCATATATATAAACACAGAGGGTAACATTTGCACAGGGATCAGTTGCCAAGGAAAATATTTCAGGACAACATTAGCACATCAGTAAGGATTACTACAGGATTTAAGGTTATGCTTGTATCCTCCTATATTTTTACTTAACAAAGTGATTATTGTACTCACCCAGGCAAACGTGCACCAAACTGAGAAAGAAGGAGGGGGTGAAATGCTTTACATGCTTCATCCCACTGAAGAAAGGGCCAATTTCTTCTCTGTTTCAAGGGTTTGGTTTTTTTTTTGTTTTTTTTTTTTCTGAAAGTTCCAGGTAAGTATTCTTCAGACTGCTGTAGTGGAGAAATGTGCAAGAGGCAGTAACAGATGCTAAGATGTTAAGCGGATGACACGTCTTAATTTCTGAGGAATTTAAAGAAGCTCCTTCCTACCACCTAATTAGACCAATTACTTTGCAGGGAGCTGTGGGACTCATTTCTGAGACAAGATTTGGAGGAATCAGTGTAACTCGCATAGATTCTGCTGTTAGTACTGCATTTGTGCTGTCCAAACACACAAGTCAAAGAGAAGGTAAAGTGGAAAGTTGTTTTCTTTCTGAACTCTATCTTTAATTCTCTAAGCCAGTCCTCTATTTTTGAGAGCTAAAAGAAATTTCTCTTTATTTTAGCCTTGGTAATCTCGAGAAACTACAAAGGAAGAAAATCTAACATTAGCAACAAACAGTGAACGTGATTGTTACTATTTTAAAGGAAATAATCACATTTATGATACCAAAAAATACACAAAATTGCATACTAGAAGGAAGAAGTCAAAATGTTCTTTTCATGAGCTGGCCTGATCATTTAATTCTTAAACTGCATGAATTTCTTAAAGCATCTTTTACATTCAACAGGAAAATTTTAACCAACATACTAAAAAGTGTGTTTAACCACCAACAAAAAAAAGTTAACAAAGTAGCTTTTTTTCATTGCTTGTTTTGGTTTTCTGCACATAAAAGGTGCTAGCACAAATTTAAAATATGTATCATCCAATTAATTATAGGGTTAAAAACCCAGCCACTCTGGGAAGTTGTTCACAGCCAAAACTTTTGGCTGCTTAAAAGGAAGCTCATCAGCGGTAATACTTAGCTTCCAATCAAGGAGATGTTTACACAGTGGCTTAGCTCTTTGAACTTGACCTGAGGCAAAGGCTTGCCCTTTAAGGATGTGTTAATGGTGTTTTCTGGCTTTTAATTAACAGCCTCCGTTAAAGAAATGTCTAAGAAATTAATCAGTCAGAGTTCTCCACTGCAATGCTTTAAAATGTGTCAGAAGCTACACTTTCTTCCCGGCTCCCCCCGCCAGTGCCCCGGCGCCTGTCCCCGCAGGCCGGGCCCCGCTGCTGTGGCAGAGCTCGCTGCAGGAGGACCCGCTGGCGCTGCCAGCCCCTCGGGGCCTTCTCACGGGGGCCTCGGGGCCTTCTCACGGCCGGAGGCCCTGCCTGCTACAGCAGCGCCCCTGGGCCATGCGGAGTGCGTGGCTCCCATGTAAGGCTGCGGGCCGCTGCGTGTCCCGCAGGGCCCGGCTGGGCCGCGGGCAGGCAACCGCCACGCCCGCCAGAACAGGCCCGGAAAGCAAGTGCAGAGCCAGGAAGCAGCTTCAGACTGGGCAACAGCGGGGATTTTTGGCTCCCTAATTCATCCATGTGTTTTATCATTATTTGCTAAGGTTTTGGAAGAGAGGAAATAAGTGTTCCCTAGACATAACCCTACAGACAGAGTCTCCCTTCCCAGCACCTGCCTGCGGGGTGCAGAGCTAAAGGTGGGCCATGCTCCCGGGCTAGCTTTCATCCCACACACAGGGGAGGGACAGGCTGGGCAATTTCTATGTATTTTTCCTACAGAGGGAGCTGGCAGTTAGATCCTGATGCGTATTTGTACCATACCTTACCCATCAGCTGCTGAAACTGCAGGGTGAACGAATGATGGAGGCGGCCGTGGGAGAGAAGTCTTTGCTGCAGACGTAATGCTGTGATGCTCCTGTGCTGCGGACAGGGCATTTCTGCACCTTCAGATTCCCCTGGACCTATGGTGCTGCTGGGAGGACACCTGTGCCTGCAGAACAAATCAACTGTAAGGCTCCCAGAAGGGTAGAAGTAAAACTCTTGTGCACAATATTAACAAAACTCACCATCGATTGTGGAACTTGCCAGAGAATGGTACAGAGAGCAAAAGCCTAAAAAGGCTCCAAAACACATTAGACAAATTAATGAAGATTAGGTTCATCGGTGACTAGCAAATGTGATGATACAGATGCAAACCCTGGCTCAGTAAGGCACTAAATTCCCACCTGCCAGAAGCTTAAAAGTTAAACTAGGGGAAGGCTCTTTGTCACCTTGATCTTTTTCTAACCGTCTCCTACAAGACCAGACCTTTGGTGTGACTGCGTATGACTATTGTTGTAGAGCCGTGTTTGCAATGGCTCCATGTCGAACCAACGTGTGACTTCAGCAGTAGCCTGTAAAGCTCAGGGGAAACTGCAGCAGGCAACTAAGAAAAACAAATGTATTTTTAGTGCATTTAAATTCACAATATGAGGATCCAAAGCTGAAAATTGTGTGGGAGGGGATGCACGCATAGAAGATGGATATAGATGTAATCCCTGTTACAGATTTAACCATGCCACCACTGTCAACAGTAATATTAAACCACTGATAAAATCACAGAAATGCACCTGCGTGGTGCCCAAAAGGAAACATAAATAGCACCTAAATGTCCTCAGCTGCCTCCTCAATCCGGAACTAACAACACACTTTTTTTCTGCAGAGTATTTTCCTAGAAAAAGTGATGGAGAGCTCTTGTCAAAGTTAATAGCTGTCTGTTCCCCTGGTTGCACCCCCTGGGGATCTAAATCTCTAGGGCCTGCATCTCCAAGGAAGCAAAATGTCTCACTCCTCCTGAATTTCAATGAGTTTGAGCTGTTAATCCCCTTAGCATTTGAAAACCTAGCCAATATGCGTCTATGCACACTCAGATACATACCTAACACAGCAACACTCTGACAGAGTACTTTTTTCTGTCAGAAAATATGCTTTGATCAAAGCTAATACAGCTCATGGAGCCAGGCTGATTTTGATGAATTTTCTCCTTGGGAAGAAAAGGGGCAGGAGCGGGTTTCAGGAGAGCAATATATTCTGCCCCAACAGTTTTATGGAATGGAAAGATCCCTCTCTCTATGTAGAAGAAACTTTCTATTTCATATATTTTTAGCATATCAAGTAGCAAGAAACACAAAAGAAGAATAAAATATACCCATCTGATCTGAACCAGTTCATTTCCCAGGGTGTTCTGTTTGTTTACTATTCGGTATGAAAACAAATCTAGAAAGATCCAATATTTTCCAAACAAAAGTTCTGGGTTTGGGGTCACTGATTAGCAATATCTACTAGAGTTTGTTAGACAACCTGAATTTTTATGAAATAAAAGTTCAAATGTTGAAGGATGCTACAGTAATGCAATGAATATTTTTGCAGACTTCACCCCTTCTGACCGCAGCTTGGGTGTACCGGTACCGGTGCAGCATGGTTGTAACTGCTGGTTTGTGCATTGTGAAGCCCCCTGGGATGCCCTGAGCCATGGAGGCTTCTGTTTCCCCAGCACAAACCCATACCCCAAACCAAAACCAGAACCTTCCAGGGCATGGGGCCAGATGCAAAACTAACCACACACAAGTCCCTGCCAGCTCCTGCCCTCTTACCTCCCTGAGCCTTCAAGAATCTTGGAAAAACCTGGGCCCCAACATGCTTACCTTTCTTAGCCCTAAACCCCAATTTAAGCCTAAGACTAGCAGTCTTCCTTAACCAAGTATGGCTGACAAGAAATGGGCTTCCAGCAGTACTGAGAGCTGCCCTTTTTCTCCTTCCAGTCCCTGAATATGGGAATCACGGGCCCCACCAAGACAGCCGTTCTTGAGCCCAATCCCAAAGCCCAACCTACAATGTAGGCCAGACTAGAACTGGCAACAGATGCTAACACTAAAATGGCACATAAAATGCCACAAGACCACAATACCAATATGAGTTCAGGGTTTCCTCTCTTGGGGGGTGGGAGGAGGCCTGTTTATAGCCAGCAATGAGCAAGAGCCCCTCTTCGGTCACTAGCATCCCAGCTGGCACTCACTGCCACCTGCGCTGGAAGTGTGAGCAGAGAGGGCAAAGGCTGAGCTGGCACAGAGATAAATGGCTCTTTCCACATTGTGGGTGGCCCTTCCACCTCAGGGCAATCACATTAGAGCTGCCTACCTGGGGAAATGCCTGCTTGGCATATAAATGTGAGATTTGCATGAGCTGCATTTCAATCAGTTTTCGGATGCTTACATGCATTCGCAATTTAAAAATAGAGAGAAAAATAAACAAATAACAGATTGTCTTCCACTGTCCTGCTTTGCTTTGCTTTATATTAACTATGTATAGTCTTCAATTCTGGGTGCATATGACATTAAGCATGACCTTGGAGAGGAATATTCAGCATTTTTTTGTGTGTGCATTTGTGCGTGTAAATAAATTCAACATAAAAAGCACTACACGCTTTATATAAACCTCAGCATGTGCAGAAAGAGTCCAAATTACACTCTGGCCTTCCCTCTCTAAATCACATGCTTCACATGGGGCTGTGGGGGTTACTGTTGAAACCTGGAGGCATTCTGCATAGAGCAATTCACTCAGAATTGCTCGATGCAATAGCCACGAAGGAGAGAAGTGGACCCTCAGCCATTTTCAAGACCTTTCTCAAAACTCTCCCTATTCTCACATCTTCAAATGTGATAGGGAAGTTGTTATTTAGCTTTGAAAGTGAAGGAAGGGGAGCAGGGTGGCCCTGTGACATACACCACAGGTAAGACAGAGACCCTAGGAGCCCTGAGTTTGACACAGCTGTAACCACAGCTGGGCTGTTCCTTGCACACTGAAGGGTCAGTTCACTAACAAGTCCCACAGCATGGCACGAGCAAGAATTGTCCAAGCTGTTCTCCAAACATCTTAACAGCAGCAGGACATGCTAAGGTAAAGTAAATGTAACAAATACACTAGTTGCTTGGATGTTTGCTTTCTGGCTGGGACCTGGAGGGGGTCATAGTGCTCTTTGTTTCAGCAGGGCTGAGTCAGTATAAGCAGGGAGTTCGAAGTTAAATGCGCAGTTCCCACCACAAACAAACCAAAACACTCTCACCTGTCCAAACCACATCATTCCTCCTCCTCAAAATCTCCCCCCAAAGGACTGAGAGATAATTTATACTGGGGCATGTCATCACTCTCCACCAACTTCCATTACTACAGAGTACAAATGATGGCAAAAATCCAGGAACAACTGTTGATGA